TTTTTCATATAGTTAAAAATAGAAAAGAAATATTAACTGAATATCAATAGTACTATTATATTAAAAAAATATATATATATAGAGCTAAGAGCTATTAATATTATAAAAAAGTAAAAGAAAAAAAATCATATTTTAATATAATTAAAAAAAATATTAATAGCTTAAAATATATTAACTGAAACTACTTAATTTTAAAAATTAAATCAATATATAAAAAAAAATATTAAAAATTTAAATTTAAAAATAAAAAAATAAAAATCTTTAATATATAGTAAAAATAATAATAAGAATAATAATATTATTCTTTATTTAAAATCTATTTAATTAGTAACTTTAATATTTATCTAGTTAATCTAAATTTTAACTATTTTACTAATTTAATTAATAAATAGCAATCAACCTATACACTTATAGAGTTTTATTTCAGAATAATATAGTATTTAATAATCTTTTAATAAAAGATATATATATAGTTTCAATATTGATTCAGTTTTTTTTTTTTTTTAATTTAAATAAAATAAGTAATAAAATAAAATAAAATAAAATAATACAAAATAATAAACTAATATAAAAAAAACCTTAATAAAAATATTAAATATAATATATTTAAATATAATATTATATAGTATTAATAAATATAAATATTTATTTTATTTAATTTCTATATAAAATTTTTTTATAATTATTACTTAATTTGATAATTTGTTATATAAAATAATTAAGATAATCAATTAGATAATATAATCTAATAAATGATTAATTAATTATATTAATTAGTTATAATATACTTTATCACTAAGTGATAAATATTATTGAGTGACAAATTTTCTCTGAAATTATTAAATATAGATAAGTAAAGCTTTTTAATTTAATTAAAATTTTATATTAAATAATATAGATTTTACTTGAAGTATATATTTTTGATATTAATATTACTTTTAAAATTAATTAGATATTTATATTTTATTTTTAATTATATATATATTTTATTTACTGTATATTCTATTAATAAATAAAGTAGAAAAATTTAATAATTATAAAATAATAATTAAAGATAATATATAAAATTATTTAAAAAAATAAAATTTATAAAGATAATATTAAAACTTTAATAAAACTAACTTTTTAATAAAATTATATATAATTTATAAAGTTATTTCTATAGTTAAGTATAGTAAGAGGGTATATATAGTTATTTAGAAAAATTATAAATAAGTTATAATTATTGAATATATAGAATCAAATAAATATTTTATATTATTAATAATAATTTTAATATTAAAGATTAATACTTTTTTAGAATTAAATAATAACTATAAATACTAATAATTAAACAATTAATATAACAGAATTATACTAGATAAAAGAGATATTTGAACTATACTACAAATACTATTTAAAAAATATAAAGAAAATAATTATTTTTGATAATTATAGCAGTTATTTGACTGTAGATTTTGATATTTTTTATAAAGAAAATATAATTATTTATTTTTTATTACTACTTATATATTTTATCTTTTTTAATTATTAAATATTAATATTTTTGAGCTATTAAAATATATATATAAAAAGTTAATTAAAGAAATAATAATTACAAAAAATAATTATATTGATAAATATAATTCTCTTTTTTTTTATTTATTTATACAACAGAAGATTTTTGATAAAAGAAAATATTTATAGTGGTTTTATTAAAGTAAAGCTTAAACCATTAGATATAGAAAAAATTTTATTAAAAATTAACTTTTAACTATATATAATTAAAACTATAATAATTATTTTTAATTAATAATAATATTTTAATATCTTTAGTATTTTAAAAATCTTAAATTACTTATCAAATTAATCATAAGATTTATTATATAGAAAAGTTTTAATAAGTAAAAATAAGTATTTAATAGATTAATATCTTATTTATGATATTTTGAGAAAAGTTATTAAATAGCTATCAATAAAAATATTTTTTTAAAAAAATTTAAAATTTTACAAGTAGAGAAAAAGAAAAAATAAAAAATAATATACAGAGATATTTTAATCTATATCAAAATACTATTCTATCTATATAAAAAGTTTATATATATATTCAACAGCTTGATATATAGATTGAAGCTTAGATTGAAGCTCTATTTTATCAGAGAGCTTTATTACATTATAAAAACTATAAAACTATTAAATATACTATATACAATTATTCTAATAAAGAACTATATATTCAAGTATTATATAATATTAAAATATTAATATTTTAAATATTGAAATATATTAGTTATTGAATACTTTAAATATTTAATGATTTTTTTCAGAGAGAATTAACTGCTTAATAATATTTACTATTTAATATAATCAATTATCTATCAGATTATAAGATTATATTATGTATTGAATTATTTTTATCATTTTATTTAAATAAATTTTAAATTAAATAATAATTATATAGAATAGATACTTAAATCTAATATTGTTTAATATTATATTTAGATATATTATACTTACTATAAATTATAAACTTTTATTTTTTAGTTTTTATATTTAAATTCTTAATCTCTTTCTTTATATTTTGATCAGACTTCTAAAATTTAATAGTCTTAACTAATATATTTTAAGCTGTTAGAATTCCTTTCTTAAATATATAAAAATGTGATTTTTTTCTCTCTTACTTCTGCTTGATATTAGTAGCTTTCAATTTTATATTTTTCTTTGCTAATATAAAAGCACCATATATAATCAGCTAATATCTTTTCAATTACTGATCGAGAGCTTGATTAATAAAATTAAAAAAAATTTTTATATAATATTTAATTATACTACTTCGTAGCTTTAACTGAGTTATATTATGAAAAGTTTTAGAGGTTCAGAAAAGCTAAGATTTATGCACTGATTCAAAGAAAAATAAGTATGAAATTGAATATGAAGTTGAATAAGCTTCTCATTTGAATTGTATAGTACTAAACATATAAATTTAAATTTATTTTTTATAATAATATTCTTTATAAACTTCTGTTTAACTACTATATAGCTAATTAGAAATTTTTCTTTATCTATATAATTGATTTCTAGTTTTATACTTTATTTTATTTTATTATTATATACTTCTTTTAATAATAAAAAGCAACTCATATCTAGTGACTGCAGTAAATAAAAGAAGTGAGAAGATATATATAATACTCTAATATTATAATTTAATACAACTTATCAATTTTAACTGTGATATAACTATTATGCTCATTCAGAATTAATACTCTTTTTCTTTTAATCATATGAGTATTATTATGAGGATACTAAGGTGGATGAACTAAGTGTCAAAAGAAAGTGTGAGAAGCTCTATAACTAAGGTTGTAAGAGGGGAGGTGTATAGATGCTGCGAGCGCTATGAAGGGAAGAGAATAGCAATGAATGAAATATATGTGTAGAATTGAATAGTAGCTAACTACTGAATCTCTCAAAGGAACTTTGAGAATTCAGAGTGTTTATATATATGAATAAGTAGTAATAGATTTTATCTCTAATCTTTCATGAAATGAGGAATTAGTAATGCAGTGATCTGAATCTTCATGAAGTATCCTTCAAAAACTGCTGGTGCTAAAGAACTGATTTTTGAGAAGTGCTGATCTGTGCTGATTCTGAATACTGAATTTTGAGATGATATTGATTTTCTAGAAGGTGCTGATTCTAAAGTGCTTTGATAAGCAGTATGAAGATAATGTAATCAATAAGTGAGTCAGCCACATAAGCAAGTCAGCTACTTTTCATCTCATCTCAGAACAATATCTTCATCATCAAAAATGTCAATCACACAAAGAAATAAAACCTCTACTGTTGTGAACCAACAGGAGACTCCCAGGGATCATTGGATAAGAATTGCAGAGGATAAAGGAACTAGGGTTTCAGACAGAATAACCCTGGGGTTCCAGGACTAACCTAAAGAGATGGTCACATGATTGATAGATTTATAATATCTATCAGAGGTTACCAAGTCTACCGGGTGGTAGATTGGTAGGCTGGTATGACTATATACCATGGGCTGTCAGATCTATCAAGAGGTTTCCATCATGTATATAAACACACTCATTACCCCTAGGATCAAGAGGCCTATCTTCTTGATCATGATCAATTTTATATTCTCCATTCATCTACCCAATCTCTACTCCACCCTACTCACATTGTGTCTGTGTTTATCTGATACATCCCCGCTCCTATACTTGTCATAGCTTTTACCAACTAACTCTACACCCTCTCAGGTGCCCGTCTCACTCAAGCCCTACGCACACCTGACCCCCTAGCCGTAGCTATCGTTGGTTATAAGGATCCTCTAATTGACGTCCTTACTACTCATGATAGTGGCACTACCCCCTGTCCTAGTTATCAACCTTACGGCACTCCCGTTCGGCTTAACCTTACCCCTCTGCTACAGGTGAAGCTTGCTAGTGATAGAGGCTCGGTAGCACCTCACTTATGGCTAAGCTCGCGTACACCCACGCAGATGGATATTTCATTCTTTTCTCTTTGCTTTTCTCTTCTTTTTAGAGTTATCATCATATAGATTAGCTAGTTATTATTATGAATACTACTATTTTATGCCTACTACGTTCTGACTATCGTCACAGATTCTCTAAACATGTTTTATATTTTAATACTTTATCCGAGTTAAAACTAAATGCTTTACGCTGGAGAGACCCTCAAGTGTAATTTTCTCTGTCTCTGATGTTGCAAACAAATAGTTATCTAATCCCGCAATATTTATCATATTTATTCCGTTGTACGTTGCACTTGTTTTTCAGCTTTACGATGGAGAAATGGGCCCCACCCCGCCTCACAAGCCAAAACCATGTCTCAAACCAACATCACATTCACAGTGACACCAACATCCTCTTCCCTTTCAACTTCCTAATCACCAATCACCAAACATTAAACACCTCAATATCAATATAAAACAGCAGTATCTTCCTCATACTGCAAATAAAATGCTCTCATCCTCTATCACCCCCTTCTCAACCACAATGTCACCAACAACCACCCTTACCACCTCCGCCCGCCCTCTCCTACACACCCCCTCCCCTCTAACCCTCATCGTTGCTACAACCCCGATAACAATGTCCACTCTCAATGCTAATGCTCCTTCTAACTTCACACGCCGCTGCCTAGGTATCGGCCATGCGGGCACCCTTCCTTGGCCCAGCATTAAAGCAGACATGAAATTCTTCTCACGAGTCACAACCCATGCGCCTCCCCACTCATTGCCATCATCACTAGACAGCACAGGCACAGGAAGGGCCGTGAATGCTGTAAATGCAGTAATTATGGGGCGAAGAACATATGACTCACTTCCCACGCGCTTTCGGCCGCTGCCGGGCCGTGTGAATGTTGTCGTGACGCGGGATGGGTCAGGGAAAGAGAAGGAGAGGATTGAGGGGGAGTGGAGGGCAATGAGGGAGAGGGAAAGGGAGAGGAAGAGGAGAGGAGATGGTTTGAGTGCTAGTGGTGGTGATACATCTACATCTACGACAATAGTTAAGAATGATATTGAAACCCCCGATATCCTTATAGCGAATAGTCTCGAGTCAGCTGTGACAGCACTTTATGATGCATTCCAAACCAGTACTGATGACAGCTATGCTGTACTCCCCGGACCCCTCTCCCACAACTCCACCCGCTACCTCGCAAATACCTTCGTAATTGGCGGCAGTGAGATATACGCCTCTGCTCTTAACCTTGACTGCAAGCTGGATGCCGGTGTTCCTGATGGCCAAAGACAAGGTATCAGGATTGTCATGACAGATATAAGGCGATTTCCTGCTGCATTGAATGATGCTACTGATGATGGAGCTACAGCAACCTCAGTGAATGGAGTGGAGGACTCTGTGAACGGTTTTGAATGTGATACATTTTTCCCACTTGATGAGGATGAACTGGAGCGCGGAGATGGAGAGTGGAGGAGGGTGAGCAGCCAGGAGGTTTCCGGGTGGGTTGGGGTGGAGGTGAAGGAGGGGTGGGTGCAGGAAGGGGAGGTTGCGTTGAGGATCCTGGGGTTTGAGAGGAGGGGGGTGAGATAGGGACAGCGGGATGATAAGGGTCTATCTACCAAGCTCTCAAGCCTTATTTGATGGAATAATAATAGCGTTTTACGGGACACATGGCAGGAACTAGAGGTGCATTGGGAATATTTGCCTTCGATCTGAGTTGAATTTCAATAAAATTTGACGCAATTTATTATCATGTTAATTTTATGTTATCTCTCTAACATTTCTTTTTTATTTTGATAGTTAACTCTTAGATTAATTAATGCTATTTTACTGTAGACTAAAGACACTATAGCGCCTCTCTCAAAACCACATCGCATCTCATACCACCCCATTTCACCCCATCTCTATCTAGCCCATTCAAACCCACAATCAACATACTATGTAAGAATTAAACACATCGCATCATAACCTTCGCCTCACCTATCTCTCCCCTTCAGCACCAATCCCATCCCTCTTCGCCTCCGATGAATTCAACTACCCAAACGCCGATGCCCACCAACCGGATTAAGAGACCGCGGCTTCCTTGACCAAAGAACCCCAGCAGCACCACTGCTATCACTCGAATTCGGCTTCGTACTACTACCATTCGCCGAAGTCATCACATGCGAGGACGATGATACCGGTACTCCATCATGCTCCTCAGCGCTGGACAGCGAGTCGCCAAATAAAACCAGCAAGTTGTCGTGGACGACGACGCAGGCTTGGAGGGCTTTAGAATCCTCAGAGCAACCTCCGTACAGGCAAAGCGGCAGCTCTGTTCGCCAGAGGCTCCCACAGGCACCCACAGGCTCCTACGGACTCCCACGGAATTCGACTGGAGGGGCTCAGGGTTCAATTCGTCTGCCAAGGCACAAATTGGTGAATTGTAGTCTACCAGTGGCTTCTGTTTTTAAAGGACTCATTTTGGATGATCTCAATCCAGTAACCGTCTGGGTCTAGGATAAAGGCAACATTTTTCATCCGCCCGTCAGTCAGACGTTTCTTCCAGGTTACGTTTTGTGCCTCGAACCGAGCACAGGCAGCATCGAGATCGTCAACTGATACGCCTGCGTGGTGTGGAAGGTCGGTTAGTTGGGAAAACTGCCTAATGTATTTATTTAGATAGAATAGACAACCCCCTATGAAAAGAGAAGTGGAACATCATCACATACAGATATGTCCAAATCCCTGAGGCTCCGAATTGCCATCATGATACACTTTTCCTTCTTGCTTCTCTGTGCCGTGATTCCAGGTCAATTCCAGCAACCCTTCCCATTCTGCGACTGGGTTGGCATCACCCTCTTTAAGCGATGGATTGGATGAAGGATACGCCAGGAAGTACAGATTGCAATCCGCACCAGCAAGCTCGAGCGTGCGAAGAAGGGTCATTCCAAAAACTTCCTGGTAGAATTTCAAACTTGCTTCCGGGTCCTTGACCCTAACCATGGTGTGGTTCATCCGGTAGGTGGATGGATTTGTCTGTGCAACGGCCGCATCTGTTTGATGTTTCCGGATAATCTCCACCCAGTATCCGTCTGGGTCTTTGACGAAGGCAATATTTCGCATCCTCCCTTCGGCGAACTTCTTCTGGAAGCTGTAGTTGGCATCTTCCAGGCGCTTGCAGGCGAGTTCGACGTTATCCACTGAGATAGCGAGATGACCAAATCCGCGGTGAGGCTCGACATTGCCGGTCGAGACAGTGTACGAAGGGTCGTTTTCGGTTCCATAATTGTGAGTAAGTTCGATAATGCCATTCCTATCCGTCCAGTGGCGGGAGCCAGATAGGGCCTGTGGGCCGTCATATGCAAGGAAGTAGAGGGAGAACTTGTTCTCTGGGAAATCTAGTCTGTTGATTTGCGAAAGGCCCAGAAAATTGTAAAATTCAACTAGTTATATAAACATTTGAACCCACCAGCTTCTGTTAGCAATGGTTTAACTACCAGTACCCGGAATAATAAGATTGAACTGCCTACCTGATCTTTTTGGATCCTTTACGCGAATCATGGTATCTGATGCGGTTCCCAATCAGTTGCTCCGGCCGATAGTTACAGGTAGTAGTAATAGCAGCAGCAGCATTGAGGTCGAGCGTACGATTGAACTTGTATTTTGATGGATCTGTGGCCATGATTGCGGTGGCAGTGCTACACCAAGACACAAAAGCTGCCACAGAAGTATGTCAGTGTGTCAGTAGTTGTGTCGGCATGACAGTACAGAGAACAGATGAATGCGCTCAGCAATGGAAACCAAATGGGCTTACTAATTCTTGCTTGGGGATTACGGAAAGTCGACGCAGCAATACGGCGAGAGACAGGGAGATAGAAGGATACCTTAGAATTTAACTATAGCTACGGTAAAGCCGATTATTTAGAACAATAGAGACGGGTCCAGGGGGAATATTCATTTGCGAATCGTGTGAAGCAATAATATGCCTTTTTCTGCCACAAAAAAGAAATTCCCTTTTTGGCTATCGTTTCCAATACTGCGTTCTTATTGGCCAAATTCCCACTCTTTCAACGGCTGAGGAAAAGTTACACTCACGTGATTTACCTCGACCGTAACCAGATCCAAATAGCTAATTTTGTATCAAAATTGAGCTGTATTGTTCTCTACATTTATTTTCTAACTAAGCTAGCCGGTCTATAATTCAACCAGACCCTTTTTCAACCACCCTATCCAAAGCAACCCTGCTTCCTATTTGGTAAATATTTAACTACAAATTCAATCAAATTGTCATTCAAACATGCAGGCTTCCAGACCTGCTACTAAAGTTGCTGCTGCTGCTTTTTTTAACCTCAATTTCTAGCTTCTGTAGTTGTTTTCTAGTCTTTAGAGTAGCAGCTTTCTCTTGAGCCTTCTTCATCCTTTCTATATTGATAAACTGAGTATTTGAATTAACTCATTTCTTAGTTCAAAGATGATTTTTAATCTTTGTAACTGACTTATTACTTCTCTATTTAAAAGCTTTAAGATGAAATATTATTTTTTGAACTAAGTTAGTTTTTTTTGTTTTAAAGTTTTTCTTTCTTTTGATTTTAAGGCTTTTTTTTTAGATTTTGAAACTTTCAAAGACATTGGTTAAGCAGAAATAGAAATAGATATAACAGTTACTTGTGTAAAAATAAACTTTTTAACTGCACTCTGTGCTAGTTCTGATTGATTTTGAGTAAATATTTTCTATTATAAAGGACTATTCCTTCATTCATTAAGTTCTTACTCAATTAGTAAGATTTCAATTAGTGTATAAAATTTTGCACTGACATTGTTCAGTAACTAATAAGATCTCTTATAATTTTTTATAAATAATAATTGATCATTTAAATTTACTAATTTGTATTTTCTTATCAAGTTGATAGATTTGTATAAAATTCAATGTATTTTTAACCTGTCAACTTGCATGCCTTTTAGTTTCTTTTTTTCATTATGAAATTCATCTATCAATATGAAATTTACTAAAAAACCTATCAAATCTAGTGATAACACTTTATATAAAATTAAATCTTAAGAGTTAACTAATTGATTTATTCTTCAGATTATATAAAAATATTTAAAAATTAAAAATAAATAATTAAAGATATTATTATAGAGATTTTATTTTTAAAATTAATAAAATTTTATTTAATATAATTTTTTTTGAGATTTAATTTTTAATTTTTCTATTAATATTGATATTAATAGTTTATATATTTTAATATTTTATTTTTTTTTTGAGAAAAGCTTTTAAAATATCAGCAACTTCATTAAACTCTATGTAAAATTAAAAACAGATAATGATAATACTGATAATAAAGCTCTAAAGCTCTCTGAGATAAAAAATAATATTATTACAGCTTTAATTTAAATACAGATAAACAGGTATTTAATTATCAATTAAATAATCTATCTAAATAAATATTAAGATAATTTTTAAAAGATATATTCAAAAAAAGCTCTGTTATATAGTTTTTTTTATAGTACAGTTGCTAGACAATTATCACATTTATATATTATATGTATATGAGGAAATTGTAAAGTTAACTGCTATACTATTATCTAAATAGTTGTAATTTTCAATTACCTCAGCCTGTGCAATGACTGATTGCCTTAGCTTGTGATAATTGCACTATTGAGAAGATTAAATATAAGCTTATTTTATATTATCATATTATTTTCTCTTGAAGTCTATAGATGTTCTCATATCAATAGATTATCATCTGCTTTATCTACTATATAGTCATTTTTTTTTCAAACCTTCAGTCATTTATCTAATTATTTTGAGAACTTTATTTTTATTGAATTTGCAGTATAAAATTCTTAAATTAAATATAGTGATTTTTTTTAGATTTTATGCTAAATATTATATTGAATCTTCATCAAATTCTAGTCATTTTATCTGATATTAAAGCTTTTTATAAGAGACGCAGCTTGTTAAAATATTCTCAACTTCTTATTAATTTTCTTCTTATATATTGACTAATTCTGATATTTTATTTAGTTATTTTGATGAAGAGTTATTTGCAGTTTTCTATAACTTATCAGAAAAGAATATTTAGTAAATTTTTATATTATTTAGTAGCTTTAGTCTATAGCTATTATTAAGTCTTTTAATAATCTCAAAAAAATTTTTATTTTACTATATAAACTTCCTACTGAGATGTTAAATTCTATAGTTTTTGAGTAACAGAAAGATCTTATCTTCTATATTAAAGTTTAACTTCTGATGATACTTGTTGATCTGTAGTTTTATGATTTTTTCTATTTTTTTTTCATATTATCAGCTGCTAGCTTTCAGATTTTCTTTATTTAAATAATATACTATTAGGTATTTTATTATTTGAATTTTTTTTCTCTAGATAATATTATTGATAGTGACTTTTAATCATAAAATATTTAAAATTTATAATTATATACAGTTAGAGAAAGTATTATCTCAGTTAATTTATTTATTAGAGCTTCAGCTGCATGATTCATTATTAAAAGTCACTTATCTCAGTTGTTTTGATAGTAGTTTATATATAAACAAAGTTTGATCATCAGATATTAATTGATAATCTCAGTCTGATCATCTGTTTGTATATGATAAGCTAATAAAAGCTTCACCTTAACTCTTAATTATCTAAAGACCTTATTTTAGAAGTATAAAATGAATTATAATTTATAATTTAATATAATTGAATTTGATATTTTATAATATTTATAGTAATACTTTAAGAATAGTCTCATTAGCTCTTTAACATTTATCATTTTTATAATATAAATAGATATAGACTTTGTACTTAATTAGTAAATAATCATCAATATCATATCATGATCTTTTTTTATTATAGAGTTATTTATAATATTTATTGAGATGTATTACTAGACTCTATTAAGAATTGATAGTAACTTTAGTAGCTCTGAAGTTTTATTACAGAAAATCTTTATTTATTGACATATTAGATAATTGTTTATATATTAATTGTCATTTTTGATTTAATCATATCAATAGTATCTTACCTTCACTAACAAGTATAGCTTTCTATTTTCAAAATGTACTATTGATGACTACTAATGAATCTTCTGTAGAAAATATACTTAGAGAGTAGAATATTTCTCAATTGATATCATTAAGTACTTTTCAAAATACAAAGTTTATCTATCAGCTCTCAATGCTATTCTTTTTACTATACTTTCTTATATCATAATTTTAGTAATTTTATCTCTTTATTTCTTATCTTAGCTTCGTCAAGAATATGTATATCTGCATCTAGAGGCTTGATCTTAATAAATTTTTTTAATAATCTTTAAATTTAATCTTTTTAACTTAAAAAAATAATTATATCTAAGTGTTTTTGCTATTTTTCTAAATTTTTGAGTGACTCAGTATGTCTACTAGTAAATTCTGACATTCAAATCAGTATTGAATTAGAATATAAAATTGAAATAGAAACTCTGTTTAGTATAGTTGTTAGATATTGAGATTCTTAGTTATCATAAAGTATTTAAAAGTCTGATAATTAGTTAATATTTTGAATTTCTCTGTTCTTTGAAGATTTTTTAACTCAGTACATCATTCTATCAATACTTTCAAAATTACTAGCATCTTTTTATTATGAATTTTATAATTTCTCTCTGCTTCACTTATTGAAGCTGAATAAAATACAACTGAATATCACTGCTAATTCTCATACAACTGAGATATGACATTAGCTATAGCATTATCTGAAGCATTTGTCTTTACTCAAGTTTTTCAATTTAAGTTATAATGATGAAACACTGAGATTTCAGATAGAGATCTTATCATTTGATTAAAAATATACTAATAGAGCTAATTTCATCTAAAAAATAAATTTTTTTGAGTAAATTTAAACAGTAATTTTAAAATCTGACTGTATTTCTTGATAAAATATTGATAGAAGTTATAAAATTTTAAGAAGAATTGAATTTTTTTGATTATATTAGATACTGCTCATTATGATATTACTGTAATTTTTTCTGAGTTCACTTTAATATTTTGATCAATGATAATAAAACTTAAATACTTTATCTGTTAAATATAAAACTTGTATTTTAATATACTTATCTATAGATTAGCTTCTTATAATCTAATTAATATTTTGTTGATATACTTCTTATATTCTTTTAAGATTTTATCATAAATAAATATACTATTTATTGAAGTAGTCATGAACTGATTCAAGTAGTCAAAGAAGATAATTATAATAAAGTATTGAAAGATTATCAGATCATTGCTTAAACTAAAAAGTATAATTTTATACTTGTAAATTTATAATATATTTTAAAGATAGTCAGATCTTCTATCTTAAAGTGTATATATATTCAATAAAAGTTTTGATAAATATTTAATTTGATAAAGAACTTAGTTTTATTTAGTTACTTCATAAGCTTATCAATTGTAAAGGGTTAAGCTCTAAGAACTAGAGGCTAGTCCTCCTATATAATAAGAACAAATTGCTTAGAAAAGGGAAGAAAAGAATGAGATGAGAACATGAGCTTAAGCAAGCTCATGTAGCATGATCATGTGCACATGTGCAAATGATGACTAGGCTGAGTCAGGGACGCCCTCAGCAGCTTTGAACAACAATAGATGACTTTTCTCCAACAGTAGGAACAGGTCCAGTATGAGAACAGAGATTTAATAGCAGCTCA